ATTTGTCAATACTGTTAACGTGAGACTGGCTGGGATGTGTGTACTTGGATGTGTTGTGTCGATTCTGTTTAGCGAGACTTTCTTCCCCTGGAATGTGGAGTACGTCTAACTGTGTGGTGAGATGAAGAACTTTTTTTTACGCTCAATAAGCCTTATTGCCAATATTACTAGCTTGAAGAAGAAGAATGTTACATGACATCATAGTGAGAATGGCGTCACGTGGCAGCGCAGGATTCCTAACTAGCTGCAATGCAGAAAACATTAGGAGGAGCCGACGGGTTCCTGGGAGAAATATATCTGTTCTTATGTCCCAGCCAGCTGTGTAAGTCACAATTGGTTGCCATGAGCGAGAAATTCAGGAAAAAATAACTCTCCAGGCATGCATGAAGCAATACTTTCTAAGAATTTTTGCCAGGAAAACAAAAATTTGCTAACTAAAAAAATGTAAGCCGTTTTTGACCATAAAAGAACGTTATATACGTCTTTTTTGACCTTAAAAACATTTGCCAGGTACAAAATTATTTTAGAGAACGAAGGGCGCCACATTTGCTTGTGAGATTGTCAACAATATAGCTCAAAATCCCTTTCCAAGACAAAATTCTTGCAAGAACAGTTATTCAAAAGAATAGATGTCAGAACTTCTTGAGTGAATAAAACCCAAAACAGGACTGCAAGTTCAATGGCATAAAAAAGTCTGTTGCACTCTCCGTTCATGTTTTAACAGTCATGCTTTACTATCATACTCAACTCAAGATATCTTCCTACAGTCATTTATCTTTAGTAATATTATTTTTTTAATCGTTCCTGACATCCTTCGTCAACAAGCTCAGTGATTTTTATTCTCGCCATGAATAATAAATATAGGGGCAGCACAGCATGAAACAAATGTTATGGYGCTGCAAGAGCTTTATTCTTTTGTCTTTTAATGAACTTTTTTCKAGTTCCTCTCGGATTGATATTGCAAATGTTATTTTGTATTTCTGTATAAGGGCTGTGTTCAACTCAGCGATATGCAGGACAAAGGAATGTTAAAAGTATTAAATCCCAAAGAGTGTTTCTAAAATTGGTAAAAAACATCAGCAAGACTCTCAAAACTTAATTTTAATTACAATAAAAATTAAAATTCCAATTAAAATTGTACAGTTATAATATTCTTGACACAGATAACAATCTAATCGATTTTTCACGAACCACGATTTGCTATAATGTTGTTCAAATCCGCGAAAAATTCTAATAAATAAACTCACGTCAAGTAGCAGAACTTAATTGGTAACAATTATAGTAGTCAATGATGTATTTTGCGCGCTGTGCCAAATTGGCCAAATTGTTTGTGTCTACCAATCCGCTAAATGATACAACATGAGTCTTTAACAACACACAGCTGCTGTAAAGACATTATTATAAACTGCGAGTTTCCATGAGATGGATGACATACAGATTTTGGTGTATTATGCGATCATCTTCATGGTACAAATTGAAGGTAAAAACCTTTTTTGATTTGTAGGAGAGAACTAAACGCCGATTGTTTTATTTCAATCTACATGTAAAGCTTTTTACTCGGTAATCGAATTAGTCTCGAGGAATTTTAAAACTCCGTTGTTTTATGACCAAAGTATGCAGGAGGTTTTTCTTTTGGTTGCTGTTTTTTTTTAAATAAAACCTATGACTATGCACTGGAAAATCTCTCTCTTTTACATATTATGTAAATATCTTGGAAATTGTATATTACAAACAATTTTTTCACATTTACAAAACATCTACATTGAGTACGAGGAAGAATTTACAAATGATTTACAAAGTCTTTTGAAATTTACATAGTATGTAAAAGTGTGAGGTTTTCCAGTGATGCATGAATATCTTTGTTAGCATTAAAGTGATAACATCTGTAATTTCTAGTTTTAATTTTTAGTAGATCAAATTAACTGTTTTTCCTGTGTTCCTTTGTGGTACTGTTTTTAATAGCTGACAACTAACAATATAATCCAGTTTCGATTTCTCCAATGCTCTGTGTTAGCCTCATTTGTGCGAAAAATATTCCTAATTGTGAGAATAAAAGAGATCTCAAATCAATTCTATTGTCTTTCTTTTCAAATTCCATGCGTTTTCTCGGGCTATCAATAAAACAAAAGAATATTTTACTTGGTTTTGAGGCTAACACAGAGCAAACCAGAACTCGAAATTGGAGTATTGCTGAATTTCTTGAGATTCAAGTCCCGCAGCCATCGATTTAAAACTAAAAAAATATATATATATATATAGCCTCATTCGCAGGCAACTCTACTCTGTGGGATTCCTGTGTTTAAGGGGAAAAAGCTGCCGGAGAGGGAGGGGGTTAGGAAAGAAGGAAAAGCRGGAGGAGTTGCTACTCCTCGTATTCGTTGTTCCTAATCTCTCGACACCAATTCTTCTCGGTCAAGATTATAAACACAGGAAGACCAAAAAGAGAAAAAAGTCCTTTTACGTTGGAGTAGTCTGCGAAGGTGGCTAAGATATGTATACATAGATGGCGAGATTAACTGCCGTATTCACCCTCAGCTAAGAATGGTTGTAAAGAGTTTGACTACCTCCCCTGCATCAAAAACAAAACCCTGACAGGTCACGTGATCAAGTCTTTCAGAGTCTTAGCTCCCGGATTAAAGATGTGCCAAAGGAAATGTTTCACTGAAGGCCAGTGYGTGTCGTACAACTTGGGCCCAGTAGACGGTCAGATCAGGACGTGTGAGTTGAGTGCTGCTGATCACTGGATGCGACCSAAGTTCTTGATCTTCAAAGAAGGCTTTGAGTACTGTCCAATCAGGGTTAGTAATTTCATCCCCCAAACCCTCCAAAAACTCATGAGGAATTGAAATGAAAAACACTTCTAATTTTTTATTTTTAGAACCCTTGTTCGTCAAATCCTTKTCCTTCAAATAGACTCTGCACACCTGATTTCAGTTTGGAYACGTTCAGCTGTGATGGTAAGTGGTTTCTATCCATCTGAATCATTGATCGCATCTACTAGGGTATCATATTGCTAGTCAATAGTTCTCCGATGCCCTCTCAGGCGATTTGTGAAACACTAAGACGGTCCTGCTTTATCATAGCGTCTTAACTCTATAATAATTTATCTTTGCTCCGTGGCCATGTCTTCTCCTGTATTTCCTGTTGCAAAACACCGCTTGTTCTATATAGTTTTATAATATTCTCTTATATAGGGCGGGCGTTTTAATTCTAATCATACTAGTGTTAACTCTATAGACGGTGGCTGGACCCAGTGGAGTTCCTGGAACCRCTGCATCGTGTCATGCAGCACACGTCAAACGAGAATGAGAAGTTGTTCAAAACCTGCTCCACAGAATCGCGGCTCGCAGTGCTTTGGTGAAGCACAACAGACCAAAGCTTGCCAACCTTCGCCTAAAATAGGTAAAAACAACTTTTGACAATCAAAATATACTCCGTTGACACAAGCATTTTTTCGTATCTTGCTAAAGAACGGCCTGTAGTTTAACTTACTTTATGTCGTCTATTTCTTTCCAAAAGAGGTGAAAAACATCGGCTGCTTTAAAGACWATCACSCAGATCGTACRTTACAWCAAGTATTGATAGGAGAAATCAAACCACACACTATTTGCAGCTGCGCACTTTTAGCTCAACCAAGCGGCTATGGTATATTCGGTATCCAAAATAATGGAGGTGCATGTAGAACCGATCCATCAGGTCGAATTACCTACAATAAGCATGGGAATGCAACCAACTGTTTAAATGGACTAGGAGGAAGTCTTTCTAATAATGTCTACGAGTTTAAAGGTACGTACGTTTTAGGACTGGAAACAATGTATTACCTTATAAGGTAATTGGAATTTGGTGTAGACATTAACATTGCAAAGAGACATGCTAACAATTGTCAACTTAATATGTTCTATTATTGCAGAAATTCCTTGATTGAAAAGATTCAACAAGAAAACCCAGCGTTAAGGAACAAGAAACAACAGAATTTTTCAGGAAACGATTCTACTGTAAAATTAAAATGCTCAAAAASAAGCTCTCACAGCTTCAAAATCGATATCAATATCTATAAGAAGTTTTTTTTAATTTGCAATGCAGAAAAAATGCACGGTGGGGGACACCAACATTTCAATAGATTTTTTCACGAATCACTTACAGTTATTTTTTCTAACTAACGCGGTACAGGAATAATAAAGAAATTTCACTTCACATTTATGTATCTCTTTACTTAAATAACCTAAAAGTCTTACTTGTGGTCTTAACCAGAAACTGCAAGAAGACAAGAAGTGCCTTAGTTCTAATAAGCGATTTAAATTATACTAAAACATGCTAGATAGGTTCTTTTTCTGTTCTTATATACGCTAGTATAGTTCCAAGAATTGTTCCTTAGATCGTTTCCATCTGTTTTTTAATAGTCTTGGGCTGACAATTATTCTGATGTATTTTAATCACCCAAGGCGATTTTTTGTTTTGTGCCACTTTTTCTTTTGGGGGATGATTGATCATGAGCCAAAACTACTTCATGTTTTCTGGAACTCATCCCTTGCTTAGCAAGCTCTTTGAATATTGATTATTTTCCAATGGGTATTTTCGATGGGTTTTCAGCAAGTATTCCAAAAAAAATTTCCATTTCATACACGGCAAGACTTTGACTACAGCGAGACCTCTCCTACTAGACCGGTTTCAGGTGAAACAGTACGTGGTCAAATATTGAACCGATGGGAAAGTACAGAAAGTAGAATATATTAATAATTGATAGCTTTCTTTATTGCTATTATTATAAGCATTTTGTCGTCAACTAATGAATAATAAAATAATATTAGAAAAGCAACAAAGAAAAAACCGTCAGCCAGCAGCAATGGATGAAGTTCTAAATATGGGTTCGTTTCTTCGTTTGTTGATGAGCATTACCTTGGCTGTCGTAAAAGGTAGATTTTACTGGAGCATGTCTTTCTTCGCGAATGTTGCTACGCATATACTTGTAATTTGTACTAAAAAATTTATTGCGACAAGTCTCGACATGTGAGTGCCATCTGGCACCATTTTCAAGAGTAAAGTAATTGTGAGTTCGTAGTTTGAGTATATAACAAATATTTGTTTTTGTGTGTGTTTAGTATTTCTTGAACGAAAAACAGTAGTTTTTTTAGAACTCCTTCGTAAATTTTAGATTTCTTGTTTATCCTTTTCAATTAAATTCTCAAACATTAAAACAATTTCAGTTGAAATGCTCTTTTAGACTATTTAATTGCAGAAATGGCGTGAATGCAGTTAGAGAAACAGGAGTCTTGGTTAATTTGGCATGAAAAATGATACGAAAAAAATTGAATAATTGGAGGTCACGTATATCAGGAAAATTACTTCAAATAAAAACTACATACAACTCAGGACCGGTATTTTTCATGAAAAAAAAACTTTTAACATCAACAAAGATAGTTATTGTCATTGGAATTATTTGAATTCAGTTCATAAAATTGTTGGATAATGCAGTTTGGACCTATTTTAGGCGTTTTGTATTTGTTTTTTATGATCCAAAAGGATATACTTCGACAAAATTATTTTCCTTTTTTATCCTTAAGTTTCTTTTATTAGTATTCAATCATAAATTTATTCAATTTTACGAAATCGAAATTTTTTCCGACTGATTTTCGATCTAAGTGTCAAAGTTTAGGGTTGAGAAACATAATTATCATAAAAACAGCTGCGGGTAGGCTGCATGTGTTTCATTCAGCGTTTACTCGTATAGCYGCGGGATGCTTATTATAATAAGCCCAAAACATCGATTTGCGATTTGCATAGTTTTTAAAAACAGGAGGGTTGTTGTTAGTGCTCAGTGGTGAAATTGAATAAATTAAAAAGGATATGGCTTAAAAATGATAAGAACGTAGAAGCTGAGGCCGAAAGGGTG